TTTCAAATTTTAGAAATTATATTACATTACCTTTATAAAAATACAATTTTTAAATTGGCTCAAACAAAACTATTTATTAATTAATTATTATTTACTTTAATAATAATAAATTGATAAATAGATCTTGCTTAGGACAAATAATATTAATATATTATTTAATAATATTTTTACATTAGCATTAAGGTAGAATCATATAGAGAATTCAGCTTCATTAGTTTTTGTTTTTAGATAATTTGTTTTAAATGCCATTTAGGTTTTTATATACTGGTTAATCCAACTATTAAAGGAAAAACGAATGTTTGATTTTTCCTTACTTATAAAATAAACAATGTAAAAACAATACATTGTATTAAAAGAAGGGTTTTTATGGCGATTAAATAAAAATTCAGATATAATTGAATATTGCATAAAAATGTTTTTTAATTGTACAGAGAATAATAATATACAATATAAATTAAGATTAATAGGTTTATTATGTAATAGTTTAGATTTTTTTTATTTAAAAAATAATATTATATATCTTATGGTTTATTACATTATTCTCCAAAATAACTTATAATTTAATTTTTAAATTAAATTTTATTGAATATATATATTCTAAAATATTTGAATTGTAAATATTAATATGGATATAATAAACATAATATTCCTTTTATTATTCTATAAAAAATTAGTTATATAATCCAAATTTCATAAAATGAAAACTAAGAGGACATTATTTTATAAATTATTTTTAGTTTAAACATAATATTAATTATATTAACATTTTAGAAAAAAAAATCATTCTAGTTATTAATCAAATTAATTACATATGTTTTTATTTTATATAGCATTTATAATAGAATGTTTATTGACAAGATTATATTATTGGGGAATTAATTGTAGTATAAATAAAATAAAGAATTATATTGTCATTTTAATATATTTTTAATTTTTTTAATAATTAAAATAGTATGAATATATTTTTTTGTTAATTAAAAAAAATTAAATTTATATAAAAGTTATTAATATTTAATTAATTTTATTACTATTATTTAAAGATAATGTATAATTTAATATAAACTAATAACGTTTGTATTAAAGTTATTTTTAAAATAAAATAAAAATGTTTCAATAAAAAAAGCATAAAAATAAAAATTATTTAATTTTTGTTTTTTTTAATATAAAAATTTTAATTAATTTTTAAAATTAAAAAATAATCATTTTAATTTTTTACTAGTGTATTTTAAATATAAAATGGAAATAGCCACTCTTTAAACAAAACATTCCAAAATCCTCTCAAAGCACTCATCTAATCCCACTAAAGGGGAACAGTTTAACAAATACTAATCTTTTAATTTGCTAATTTAACTCTTTTTTTTCACACAAACCTCCAAAACTGCCAAAAGTTCATCTTAAGCCTTCACTGGTAAAACTAAAACTGGCAAAAGAGTATTTAAATCAATAGTTTAATCCCAAAATTCATTATTTTTTATATTAATTATTAATTATTTCGATTTGAATTGGCATATTTAACCTACAATACCTCTTTTAAAATCGAATTTTTTATCAAAAAGTAAAGAGTAAAACTGATTATTATTTACAAAGTAAAATTTATAGGAAGATACTCCAAAAACACTCTGTATTTATTTCAAAATTTTCTATTCTAGTTAAAGTTCGTTTTCAGATTTTTAAAAATCCCAAAAAGCATCTTCTAAATAATCTCTATAAGAAACATCTATCTAAAGTTCTCTCAAATTTTTCAATTTAGCAATTTTTTCTTGTAAAAAATTACATAAAATAATACCTAAAATTTCTTCATCTTGTCCAAATAAATCATTTTTACTCTCAGAAATCTCGAGAATTCCACAAACTTTAGTATTATCAATAAATAAAGGTATGCATAAAGTATTATTAGAAAAAAAAGGAACACTTTCATCCAAATTTATTTATAAATACATATATTTTGAACTTTGTTAACTTTTTATATTTACAGGAACTGAAGATCTTAAAATATCATCAAAATAGCCTTTGCCAGGAATACATTTTATAATACAATTGAATTTATTATATGTATATAAAATACCATTTTGGCAATCATTAATCCAAAGTCTAACTTAAGAAGCCTAGAAAATATCGTCAAAAAACTATGTATTTATAAAGGACTGAATTTATTATAAAGTTTACATTTGGAAAATTTAATGTATGTTTTTGTTTAAAAAAAGAAGACGGTTTAAATAGTCTCTATATGAAATAAATTAATCCACTATTAATGTGGTATATTTAATTCTGGTATTTTAACTTTTAATTTCGTTTAAAGATTAAATAAAACTTAACGCACCTTATTCAAGTAAATCTTATATTATTTATGAATATTCAAATTTTAAACTCCTTGAACGAAAATTTGCATTTTCTGGTATTTATTTATATATAGAAGATACATTGGAATAATTATCAGAAAAAACAATTGAGTTTTTTTTTTAATATTTAAATTAAACAAATGTGGTAGGTGCTTTTTCTTTTTCTTAAAGAAAATCAACTTCTTCAACGTTGGTTTTTTTTTTAATAAATCTAGTTTTTATTAAATGTTTTCAATTTTTTATTTATTTTTGGAAATCTCTTCTTTGTTTTTTTTTATTTCTTCTCCTTATTATTAATTATATTTTTTTAAATAATCATTTTCACGTAATAATTCACCATAACTAACTCTTAATTTTTATATATTTTTATCATTTTAAGTGTTTTATTGAGATTCTTCAACAAAATTAGTGTCAAGAATTAATTTTAGTCTTTTTTCTAACTATTAAATTTTTATTTTATTTTATTTATTTTCTTTCATTTTAAAATTTAATTCTAATGAGTTTTTATTAATGTTGTTTTCAATATTTTAATTTTATCGAATTAAATTTTAATGCTCTTATTTATATTTATGTATTTAATTTTGCAAAAATTAATTTTATCTTTATAAATGAAGACTTTTTTAGTATAATTATTATTAGTTTGCCTTAGAAAGGCAAAGTTTTAACTCATTTTTGACTGCTTCGGCTAATTAAGTGATAAATTAATTTATAATTTCTTTATATTTTCTAAATTCGAAAATATTTTAATTACTTTTTTATAATATTTCTTCTTCAAAAATTTACATGAAATTTAATATTTAACTTTTTAATTATTCATAATCTTTTTATTTATTATTTATAAAAATGAAAAATGAATAATATAAATGCATATATTTATTAAATATAAAAATTTATTTTTTTAACTATTTTATAATTTTATGTTTGTTTAAATAATTTCATCATATTATTATTTAGAAAGATATATTTAATCTTATTTTTCATATTAATATCCACTTAATAAATTTTAAGTTGAAATTTAAACTGATTTAGGTGTATCACTGACCTTATTAGAAGTAAATCCAGGTAATTAAAATAAACTGGTTTTTTAATAATTTGATTATTAATTGAATAAACTAGTAGTGAAATTCTCATATATGCTTTTCGAAAAACTTCTATAAAATATAGAAGTTGGTTTATTATTGATGTCTATGTATTTTTAGTAAGAATTACATTTTTTCATATTTTTTTAAAAAAAATATAAATATTTTTAATTCGTTGAGTAATATAATTTAATAAAAATTTAATTTTTTAATAATACATGTATTTATAATTTACTTTTTTTAATATTTTTATTTTAATAAAACACACAATCAATAATGAAATGAATTATGGACTTTTTATTATATATTTTTATTATATTATATAAAATATATTAGTATATTATTTTTTTATTTCAATTTGAAATTATTTTGAATTTCATTAATTTTCAAATAAACATTATTATAAATTATATTTTTTTTAAAATAATTATATCGACTGTAATTAAAAAAACAATATTTAGAAAAATGGATACATAATAAGAATAAAATTGTATTTAAAATAATTTTTTATAATAATAGCTTTCATCCATTTAAAAATTTTTTAAAATATTTTTAAAAATTTCAAATTCCAATTTAAATTTCCATTTAATTATCATGAAAAATAATTTTATTTTAATTAAAGATTTATTATAATATTCAAAAATCGCATTTAGTATTTTAAATTTGATAAATTTTAATTAATATCTAATTTTTAAAATTATATTCAATTAAATACTCAAAAAAAATTCTTTCAAAAATTTAATTTTAAATAAAAAAATTTACTTCAATAATAAATATAATTTTTAAATTTTCATAATTTACTAATCGTTTAACTTTTTATTTGAAGAATGATAAATATTTTCTTAAAAACCATTATATGAATCTAAAAAAGTATCTATTTTATCCTAAAAAACTAACTTAATTCCCATATTTTCATCTGTTTATTTTATTTTATTAATTAATATTAAATGAACAGTTTTTATTTCTTCAGTATAAACTTATTCTTAATTTAACAGTTACATGTATAATAAACATATTCTTAATAAATTATATAAAGTATCGCTTATTTAAATTCATTGTGCAAATTCAGACTCTAATATATATAAAGAAAAACTTTATATAAAATATTTTAATTCAATTTTTATCAGAAATTCTAAAAAATAATTTATAGAGAAAATATTTAAATGCCCACAAAAAATAATTTAAATTTAATTTTTTTAAAGGTTCTCAACAATGTATATTTTAAACGATAAATTTTCTTTTATTTTTTATATATTTACATATTTCTATTTCTTAATTTTTTTATATTTTCCTTTGAAAATTTAATCTTATAAATAAAATAATTTTCTTTATTTCACATTAATATATACAATTTTGAATTAATTTATTTTTTATATATAATTTTTCGAAATTGAATTAAATCAGTCTTAAGTCATTATTTTATTATTTAATATATTTTCAATTAAAAAAATAAAAATTAGTTAATATATATTAAATAAATAATAATAAAAATATTTATTTTAATAAAAAAAAAAAAATTAATAATCAAAAAAATATGATACATTATATAATATATATATATATATATATTTATATAAGATAATCATTCGACAGGTCCTGCCTATTCAATATTAATTTAATTTTATTCAATTACAATAGCTCCATTATTTTAATAATTTAAAGTGTTAACATCCCTTTAATTAACAAATTAACTTCCTCTTTTTGCAGAAGAGAAAACCGAAATTTTTTTTTCGAAAGACTTTCCTCTTTTCATATTTAAAACGCTTCCTTTTTTATTCATATTTATTTAAGTTTATTCTTTTCCAATTTATGGAAGCCATTTATCTGGTACCAATTTAATTAAAATCGACCAAAACATGCATCCAAAACCAAAAGCTATACTAATAAAATACTATTCAATAGTAAGTCCATATTTATAACATGCCAAAGCTTTTCCTCCGAACTAAACGAAGATAATCTAAAATCCAATAATAATTATTAATATATAAAAAAATATAGAACTATTTTTTAAAAAAACTAAATATAATTAAGTAAAATGATAAAATTTACTTGCTAAAAATATGATTAAAAACATTAATCTCATCATTAATTTTTCTTGCATTAAGAAAATTAAAAAATTATAACATTACAAAAGTATTAAAAAGAAAAGTAAAATGTCTACTAGGAGTAATATCATTATATGCAAAATCTTTACTATAATCATCTTCTTTTCCATCATAAGATCTTAATCTTCCACTATGCATCAATTTTTTTTCCTAAAAATAAATGTAATTATAAATATAAATAAAATAAATAAATAATTAAATAGAATATATAAAATATATAATATATATAAAAAATATGAAATATATAAAATATATATATATATATATATATATATTTTATATTTATATCAAATATTTATTATTATTTACTGGATCACTATATTTATATTAATTAACATAATTGACATATTTTGAGTCTGTTGAATTATCGAAATCATCCTTATATTCTGGTAAAAACATTTCACCTGCAAAAGCTATAATAAAAAGTACTGTTAATTAATATAAAGCCTACATGATAATATGCTTAAACATTTTCCTCGAAATAATATAATCTTCTCTTTAGTGTGGGGCTCTTAATATTAGTTATTATTAAGGCGGTTCTGTCGCTAAAGCTAATGAAGCAAATGTATCCATAATTAAATTTACCCATAACATCTGTATAGGTTATAATAATTCTTATTTAATGACTGCTCCTCCTACTAATGTAACAGCTACAGCTACTATATTAACTGTAAGTTAAAACTGTAAAAATTTCCTGATACAATCATATATATTTCTTCCCCATAGTACTGCTTTTATTATAGAACTAAAATTATCATCTGTAAGAATTATATCTGCAGCATTTTTGGCAACTTAAGTACCTGCTATTCCCATAGCAAATCCTACATCGGCTTTTTTCAAAGCTGGTGCATCATTAGAACCATCTCCTGTGACAGCTACTACGTTCCCGTTTTCCATAAGTCCTACAACTAAAGTATATTTATCTTCAGGGGCAGATCTAGCCATAACAGCTAAATTAGGATAAATTTAACGAAATTTTTCCTAGTTTTTGACTGTATCTACTCTAAGAGATTTTTTTGTTTTCTCAGCAGTTTATTTATCACGAGGACAATTACATACTAAAATCCTACATTTTTTGCATACAATACCGCCTGTTAATAGTATAAATTCTTTTCCTTCCAAAACTTAATTGTATCCAGTTTCATCATTTATGATTCCACATTTTTTAGCAATAGCTCTTGCAGTTATTTTATTATCTCCAGTTACCATTCTTACTTTTATACTAGCTTTCTCACCCTAAAATAATATATAAAAAATAATTATATATATTATGTATTTAAATTATATATATATATATATATATATATATATATATATATATATATATAAATATATATAAATATATATAAATAAATAATTTTTTATTATACAATCTTAAATTGCTTAAGGTACTTCTGGTCTTAATATATCTTCAATTCCTAATATACCTACTAAAATAAGTTCTTCTTTTTCTATTAATCTTACATTCATGTTATCTATACTTTCATAATCACTATCAGGATAAACCTTAATAAATATATATATAATATATATATATATATATATATATATATATAATATATATGTATAAAAATATTAATATATATTTATTTATATAATAAATTTTAATATATATATATATAATACTTATTTATACGCTATTCCAATTGTTCTTAATGCTTTTTCTGCCATGGAAACAATAGCTTTATCTATTTATTATTTTATATTATTATCAATATCTACTATAGTATTATTCTCCCATACATAAATTTTATTACATCCTCCAGTTATTAATTCAGAAGCTCCTTTTATTAATAATCTTTATAATTAAAATAAATAAATACTTATATTTATTTACACATTAAAATACCTTTGTTAATCTTAAATTTCAACAATTTTACTCATTCTTTTTCTTTAAGAAGAAAACGGAAAATATTAAAGTTCTTTATTTTTTTTTCTAAACTATTCGAAATCAATATTGCATTTATTTAAAAATTTAATAATTGCCAATTCAGTTGCATCGCCTTAAGGTTTTGGTTCTAAAACTGCATTTGAATTTTAAGCTGTACATAATAAAAATACTTCCTAAGCTTCTTTTGGTATATAATTTTCTAAGTCGCATTTAGTATCTTTTTCAGTATTTAATTCAATTAATTTATCACCATAATTCCATAAAGTAGTCAAATACATCATATTCTAAGTTAATGTACCCGTTTTATCTGAACATATATTATTAGCACCCCCCATAGTCTCACATGCTTACATTTTCCTCACCAAATTTTTATCTTTAAGCATTTTTTATGTCGAAAAAGCTAATGAAAGGGTAACTGCAAGTGGTAAGCCTTCTGGAATAGCCACCACTATCACTGTAATTCCCAAAATGAAAAAGGTAATAAGTTCCATCCAATGTTTACTATGATCCCAATTATTTTATTCTATCCTTTCAATAGTAAATCTAATTAATAAAATTATTAAAATTGCAATTGCTGAATATAAACCAAATTATCCAATATGATCCGCTATTGTTTCTAATTTTTCTTATAAAGGACTTTTCGAATCATCTTAAGTTAATAAAATTTCATCAATTTTACCTTAAGTAGAATTAGGACCTACTACAATTACAAGCATAATACCTTCTCCTTCTATTATCTACATAAATATATATATATATATATATATATATATAATTTAAAACATATAAAATTTTACGTTAGTTCCACTCATCATTAATGGAGTTGGAATTTCATGTCTATATGTATAATTATTATATAATATAATGTATGTTAATATACCTTCCAACATGTGTAAGATTTTATTTTTTAATTTCTTATTTTCTTTAAATACATTTAATAATACTTTATTTAATAACTGGGTCTTTATTATTATTTAATTTAAATATATATATTTATATTTAAGATACCTGGCTCTCCAGTCATAACACTCTCATCACATTTTAAATCTACACTTTATAATACTAATCCATCTGCAGGTATTTCCATACCTCCTTTTACATATATAATATCCCCTACAAGTACATTATCTCGATGAATATTTTGTTTTTTTCCTTCCCTTTACACACTAATCATTATATTAGAGGCAGTAACAGAATTTAACTATTAAAATTATTTCTCTTTTTTATAATCATTTACTGCCGTTACTATTGAACATACAAAAACAGCTAATAAAATTGCAAAACCTTCAATCCAAGCTGTACTTCTATGATTACTATCAGCCGTCGCGACTTCTATTACAATAGATACTATAGCTGCTACTATTAATATTCTCAAAGTTAAATCTTATAAAGCCTCCCAAAGTAATTGTAAAAATGAAGAAGAGGCAATTATTTCTTTACGATTATGTCCATATATTTTTTCTCTTTCATTTAATTATTCCGTATTTTGAGATATCCCATTTTATAAACTAGTATTCAAGCCTTCCAAAAATAATTTATTGAAAGGATCTTATTCATTTATATCTATTTAAGGTATTTCACCTTTTAATATTGTTTAATAAAATTAATCATTATAATATTGGGATTCTTTATATATATTTTCAATTTCATCTACTTCCTCACATAAATCACGTTTTTCACTTAAACGAATTAAATTAATCAATGTATTTTGTTTTATTTTAAATTTACTGTTTTACAAACTTTAATCTTCGTCAATTTTTATATCTATTTATTACATTTTTTTTTTTTTCAAATTTTTGTATATATTTTTCTTATTTTTAAATATGCAATAAAATTTCTGTTGATTAAATAAAAGAAAAATTAGTAATAAATTATTTATATTTAACTTTATTGTGAAACTAATATTTAAATATACTAATTATGTAAAAATTATTAATATATTATAAAAAATAAATATACAATAAAAGTATTTCTGGGTTTATCATATAAATATAATATTAATATTTTAACCTATATTATTTAAAACTAAATACTAGTATAAAATTTAAATTCATAATAATAATTTAAAAAATTTACATTAAGTATTTTTATGTTTATTATTAAATTAATAATGCTTTATACAAAAAGATATTTTATATTTATTTATATTACAAAATACTAAATAAAATTATAAGAATAAGTAAATTTTATCAAAAGAAATTAACATATATATTAAGAATATATTTTATTTAAAAAAAAATTAATTAATTAATTAATTTAATAATTTATTATAATTTTATTTTTTTATATTAATCAATGAATCCAAATCCTTAAAAAATATTTTAAAATATGAAAATAAACAAATAGACGATAAAGTATATAAATCATACATATCAGTTTAATATTATTTCTAATTCTGGAGTAAAATAAATATATGTAGTTAATTTAAAAGAAAATAATGGATATGTTAAAGAAGGAATTCAAAATAATCTAAAAATAGATTGCATTTTTATTATTCCTGAAAACGAGTTTTAAAATATTATAAATTAAAAAATTACATTTTAAGAATCTTTTATGAGAGCAAACATAAAAATTATAGGAGATATAACTGCAGGTATAAAATTTACATGTGATTTATTAATTTAAGATTCTAAATTATGATTAATTATAAAAATAAAATTAAATTGAGTATATATATAAAAAATAGTAATGAACTATTAAAATATTTTTATATTATAAATAATAATAATTGTAAATATATATAAATATTAATAGTAATAAATAATAATAATATATATATATATATATAAAAAATTTATATAATTTATAATTATAATTATATATATATATTATAATTATATTATTATATTATTTTTATTCACTTTTAAATTATTATCTTAAATTTTTTTAAGTATGCAATAAATTTTATATTATTATTTTCATTATTAGAATTCCTATTTAAATATAATAATATCAATATAAAAATTTTATTTAATAAGTAGTAGTATGTTTTTTCTATTTATATTATAATTTTTTTAATTTTATATTTATATATATATATAAATATAATTTTTTTTTTTATACATAATATCAATAATGATATTATTTTTTAAAAATATTTAAAAATTATAAAATATATACTATTTAGATTTTTTATTTATTACATAAATAAAAAATATTTTAATGACTATTTATTTATTATAATAATAAAAAATTATTTTTATAATTAGCAAATAATTTTTAACTTAATATAAATTATTTATATTATAAAATAAAATTAAAATTCATTATTTATTGTTTAATTTTTAAACTAACTCGTTTATTACAGTAACTAAAAGTTTATTTTCTTCTATAAAACACATTATTTTTTACTAACATTAATTTTCTATTAATTAAAATTATTTTTATAAATTATTTTTTTCAAATTCTTACTTATTTTATATATATTAATAAATATAAATATAAAAATTATTTTTAAAAAATACATTTTTTACTTGCTAAAAAGCTTTAGTTGATGATATAATCTATTGATTTTACAACTTCATCTCTTGAATTTATTATAAAAGCATTTCATTTTCAATTTTTAGCTAATTAACTTATTTAATACAATCATTATTTTAATTTTATTTTTAAAGTACTTAAATTTATTCAATTAATTTTTCATTTTCAAACCTAAGCATTTCAATATTTTAGAAATCTAAGTTTTCTTCATTTGAAGGAAAAGAATAATTTTCATAATCTATGCTTTTTTCTCCGAAATCTTTTTTATTAGACGAATTACCAATAATATTGTTAAAATTATCATCAATTTTATTATAGGATTTCTATTTTAATTAAAAACCTTTTTTATTATCTATTTTTTTATTACATTATATATTATTTAAACTCACAAAGCAATCATCAGCTAAATTTTTATGTTCTGTAATTTCTGTATGATATTCCATTCTAATAGTCTAATTTAATTATTTTATATTTTTTTCTTATTTTTCATTCAATTGTTTTAAATCTTCTATTTCCATTTTTTATTTTTCTATTAAAATTTGTTTCTATTCAATTTCGTTTTTAAAATCTACAATTTTTTATTATAAATCATTCACTTTGTTTGTATTTTAACATTTAATATTTAATTCTTAAACTGCTTTTTTCAAATCATCAGTACTTTTTTCATATTCTATACATTTTTTTTACAAATATTTATTTTCATCTGTTAAAGTTTTTATTGTTTCTGTTAATTTTTCATAATTTTTAAATTTCTCTAATTTTCCTTCTAATTCTAATATTTAATCCTATATAATTAATTTTATTTTTAAGAATGTATATAAAAATATATTAAAATAAAGATAATACATACGTATATTTTAATTTATATAATAAAAAAGAAATTAATTTACTTATAATTAATTACTTTTAAATTTTTTAATTTGGAATCTCCTTTATATTTAATATCATTAATTTATTTTTCATATTCAACAATTTGCATATTTTTTTCATTAAAAACAAATTAAAGTTCTTCTATATTTTTAATTCCCATATCCGCCAGAATAAATTCCTATTATTTAAGTACAGAACTAATTCCTATATATTTTTTCTCAAAAGAATCTTGTTAATAAATAATTTAATTTTAAAGATTTTAATTTTCCTATTGATACTAACTATTTGATCCAGCTAAATCATACAATTATTTTTCCAATTAATCAATTTTAATTAATAAATCCTTATTACTTTTTTAATACCCGTCTTAGCATTCTGAGTTTTCTTCTTCAGTATCTATTATTTTTAATAAAATCTTCACATAATCTTATAATTTTTCTTAATGGTCTTATTCTAAGTCAATTATTGCCTCAATAAACTCATTTTTATGTTCACTTTATAACGCTATTTCAAAAACTTCTGAGGTAATCAAGAACATATTACGTTTATCTCCATTATTTATGATTGCAGATAAGTCTATTGATTATATTTATTTTTAATACACCTAATTATTATAAGAGCTTAATTGCTTGTATAAATATTATAAGTTTTTTAGCTAATTATCTATTTAAATATTTTATAATTAATGTTCATATGGAACTCTTTTTTTATACCAATTTAAAATATAATATAAATATATAGATTATATTTACACATAATTAAATATTTCTATCAAAATTGCTCCATTTTTTAAATCTAAAAAATTTTCAATAAACGGCTGATTGTGTATTTGTTTACTTTACAATATATTAATCTTTTATATTTTTAGAATTAAATAACTTTATATATATAGTTATATAATTTTTTTTTTTAAATAAAATAAAAAATACCCAACTAACAACTGATTCTTCACATTCATAATGCATTTTTGAATATTAATTATTAAAATATTATTTTGTTATTTTTTTTTTTTTTTATAAAATATTTTAAAGAAAAAAAAAAGTATCTATTTATAAAATATTTTTTTTTTTTTTTGAAAATAATTTATTAGGACTAAAAAGAAGTTTTTTTTTAATAAAAAATTAACTATTTTTTCCATATATTGATAAAAAATACAAAATAGTAAATTTACCAAATTTATTCATTTAATTAAATCTTAACTCAAAAAAAAATGAATATATATATATATATACACTAAATTATAAAAAAAGAATATCTAGCAAAAAAAAAAAATCAAATAAAGAAAGTAAGAAATTTCTTTCCATTTAATAATAAAAACTATAATAAAAGACCCAAAATCAATTTCATTAATTTAAAATAATAAACATAAACATAAACGAATATAAAAGTAATAATGTTAATCTTTAATTTATTAAAAACTAATTAAATACTTCAAAATAAATGATTAATCTGATATTATTGCATAAATAAGCTTAGGCAATAAATAAATACATTTAATTCATTTAATAAATAAAATTAAAAAAAAAAAATCTAATAAATTATAATATATGCCTCAACAATAAAAAAAAAACATGATTATAATAACATTTTTTTATATTATTATTTTCTATAAATTTATTCGTAATTATTAAAAAATAATATTCTAAGAATTTCCGAATCTATTAATTAATGCAAATACTGATTATTTTTTTTAAACAATTAATGTCTAGCTGATTCTCTAGGAAATATTTTTAAAAACACTTCTTAATATTCTAATTTTAAAACAGAATATGACTTTTATCTAAATAGATCACCATGCTTATCTTGTAGAAAATAATTATCTATATAATATTTAATGATTAAATAATTTCCCTTAAATAGCTTTAAAGGAAAAATAATGATATACAAATTTCAAAATTGATTGTTTAGACTCTTAAAACAGAATATAGATATAAATTGAAAATTTAATTATTTTTTATAATAATGAATTATAAATCAATTTTCCAAATTAAATATATAAGTAATTACTATACTAATATGTTAATTGATAAACATTATAATGTAGTTTATGTCCACAAAGTATAAATAAATAATCTTAATATATAATCAATTATGTTTTATTAAAAATTTAATAATTTAATTGTCCATAAAGGAACAATCAAAAATATAAATACAAATAAATTTATTAATTGTAAAATTAAATAATGCAATTAAAAATAAGAATATAACTTTTCTTAAGTGTAAAGTAGTGTAAAGTAAATTATTTTTTATAAATTGATAATTTTTTCTACTCTATTTTCGAAAAAGTCCATATCACA